GTAACAATCAGGATTTATCATTACCTCCTCCAGATGGGCTGATCCCAACCTTGTTTAATGTAAAGAAATATGACTAGACATAGCCTGTCTGTGTATTCCATCCCCTATCAATAATTATTGGTTCAGGATTAAACATGCTAGCCAATTTGCACCAATGAGACTGAGAGGAGAGAAAACTTTTTCTAGACTGATTGATAAACTGGAAAGGTGTGTTCAAAGCCACTAGTCATTTTGGCACCTCAAGGGAGTCTTCTTAAGAATGAAGTCATTAGTGAAGACAGCACAAGTAAGAAGGAGAGAGAACATGACATTCAACCTACTCATGAAGTTGCCATGTAAGCATTGGACTTCATCATTCTGAGTTCAACTAATGGAGTTATTACATAAATATCACCTTTTCTAGTGCAAACTAAATGGAGCCTGATTTTTTCCATGTGCAACTGGAGCCTTTCTGAGAAGCCAGGGGCTTTGGAAATGACAGAAGCGAGAGTCCATGTATATTTAGAGGAACATGTGCTTAGTGAGTCCTCTATATAGTTCATATTAAAGCTGCAGTCTTAGATTGCTATCTGGTAGAGAACTGAGTGAGGGGGTAAGAGTTAGAGAACTGTTTATAAAAAAAAGCAATAAATAAAAAGAAGAGGGAATACATTTATGGGGATTTATTACCTTCCTTCCTTCCATTTCCATCACCTTGTGGTTAAGGGTAGAAGAAGAAAAAAATACCAAATTGACTTATCTGGGAGAGGCAAGAGATTGGCAAAGGTAGAACTTGGTCAATCTTACTGAAATCAACAATAAGGAATATCTGTTGTCTTGCCTACCCAGAATCCTCTTCTCTACTCTTGGGAGAAGCACTGTTCTCTCAGTATGGGAAGATCCTACTTCTATGATCCACATGGTTTAAGCACTCCAGGAGAAAATCTAGCTGAGTGGACACATGACTCAGACCTGGCCAGTAGTATGGTTACTTTTGGGCCATGGCAATCACACCCAAGTAGGTATGATAGAATTAGTAAAGGGACTTTGCAATAGCAACTGGGAAAGGAAAGAGATCCCATAAGAGGACAAAGTCAAGACAGTAAGAGACAGGCAGATCAAATGGCTTGTTTGAGCTCTTGAACCCAGGCATACATGAACTTAAATTTATCATTTGGACTCTGTTAAAATAAACCAATACAGCCCTCCATTCCACTGAAATGAAATCCTCTGTTCCCTACTTATTCCCAGGTAATGAGTATGGGCTCAGAAAATATATGCTAAAAAAGACATTAAATGAAAAAAAATATTATCTGTAAGGAGTAGAACAAATATGCTAATGTATTTTTCCTCCAGGTGTGTCTAAATTCTGCAACAATCTTAGTAAGTACTATAATATAACTAAAGCTATATGAAGACAAATGTAGCTTTTGTAGGTTGGCCTATAACCAAGTAACAAGTAAGCTTTGGAGCTATAACTGTTAGGACTTGTTGGTATTACAAAAGAAATTATTGACAAATAATGTCAATTTTGAATACCATAAAATTCTTCCTAATGTCCTTCTACCAACAATGAATGAGTAGAGCCTAAAGTTGTAAACCAATTATTTTGTAGACAAGATCACCACCTTAAATCCCATATATAGTTTGTCTGCATTTAGAAGTATAGGAGACACATAATATAAAGGATTTTAAAAAATCTTATAAGTCATAGAGAAGGTACAATGAACTTGATATTTTCATTGAAAATGAAAACATATTATGTTTCTAATTCAGAATAGCTTTTAATGGCAATAGTTTCTATAACCAGAATTTCATCATTTCATTGGATAAGAAAACCTAAGCTAATTTGTTTTTTCAGGAATAATGATTTAATGACAATGATTTTTACCTGTAGAATCATGAACAAATATAAGCATACTTACCTTAAGAAAACAGAAAGTGTTATCTTTGGAGCCATTAACAAGTCTCCCCTCCCCCGGCCCCACACACATAGGATTAGGAAACATTGCATATAGTTCCCAGTCCTGAACATTCTCAAGACACATTACCATATTTTAGAATGTGAGGAGTCTTTCAGTTAAGATATCTGCTCAAATTTGCTTAGTCCAGCACTTCCAAAAGTTAACTTTCTCAAGATTAACTATAGCGTTTCACACCCCTCCCTTCACACAACCCCACCTCCAAACCCCCATTCCTCAAAGCAACTTTTGGAACAGCTTGTGGAACTAGTTCCATAAAGCAAAGTTTGGGAAACTCTAGTTTAGTGGTTTCTAACTCCACAGATTTTGCTGTCTGAATAATATATAAGGAGTTTTGAGTGACAATTGCACCCATTTGAATATATCTTCAACTGACTCCATAATTAGAAATTTAAAATGCAAATTTTTCAAAAGCAAACTGTCTTTACCATTTAGACATGTTGCTAAGATTTATTTGATTTTGTATATACTCGTATCACTTCCCAGTATCTCTGGTATAGGTAATAGGATCAAAAGACTGATAAATGTTGAACACAAATATGATTAACTGTGTCTACATTTTATGACTATACCAAGCCTTGACAATTTTATTATGACAAATGTACTCTGTACTTTTTTTTCCTTTTTAGTACTGTGGTTCTTAAGCAATTGGGTAATGAAAGTTTCTTTATTTGTACTCTCAATAAGATATATAATGAATTCATGTTAGTATGAGCAAAGACATGAAGCCATTGTTATTGAGCTTCAGATGTGGCAAAGAATCAAATGATGACCACGTCTCTCTATATACACATGGTGAAAATCCAACTTTACATCTCTCCTCTTCAACAAGCTTTCCTCATGCTACTTGGGAATACATTAAATCTTAGCATACATAAAACAATAAAATAGGGTAATTTTAAAGGTGCATTCTTCTTGGCTGGATTAGGAAGATTAGCTCCTCGGCTGGTGTTCCAAAGAAGTCATCAAATATAAGTGCAATTGAAAATAAAACCCTGAAAAACATTTGAATATTGATAAGAAAGTGAACAGATAGGATGTAGTCAAGCTTCCACTCTGAGTGGCCTCCCATCACTGCATGTCACAAAAGATTACAAAGTTCAATTCTCTAAGGAATATAATAGAGATTTCTGAAAATAACTTGGTATAATTATTGTTAAGGCAAAAGCATAGCTACAGAGTACAAAGGTTTGATGTGATTTAAATTTTAGGTCATTTGTGCTGAAGATCTTTTTTAAATGTGATATATTTGTTTACTATGAGTTCTCTGAAATATTTAATCCTTTGATACTAAGAAGAGCAAAGTCCTCTTTCTTCAAAGTAGTAGCTACTGGTTCCTATCACCTCAAAAATTCACATAAATCTTATTATTTGTGGAGCTGGGGATTGAACCCAGAGCCATTATACATGCTAGGTGGGGCTACATGCCCCCAGAACTCATGCAAATCTTAGACCCATGTTATAAAGTGGTGTTTCTCAAATGTGATGACATGCCACTGCTGATATACAGGATGACTTTAGAAAAATCCAAAGACTATACTCTACTTTAATAATAAAGGTGATTATGATGATAACATTAAAAACAGCTACCATTTACCGAGCATTTCCTATATGCTGCCGGCAAAAATTCTAGTGTACTAACTTGAACAGCCTTCATATGCCACTGTGTGGCAGCTAATATTATTATCTCCAGTGAGCACAGTGGAAACTGAGGCCCAGGGAGGCACAGTAACTTGCTCAGAACCTCATAGCTAGAAATGAGCAATGATCCAATCCCAGGAAGCTGAGCTGAGAGCCCATTCTTTGTCATTTCAATATATATATTCTTTCTTTTTTTTCAGACAAGATCTCTCTATGATGACCAGGCGAGTCTCAGATTCATGGTCATCCTGTCTCAGCCTCCTGAGCAGCTGGAATTATGAATATGCATCACTGTGCCAAATTGGATATAATTTTTTAGAAAAGTGAAGTGGCTTAATAAAAACTTTAAGGAATATAAGTTTAGAGATATGAAATAAATTCATCCAAGTTGTACAAAAATGTCTGATGATCAGAAAATGCCATCGTAACACATTATGGTGTATGTATACTATGTGTGGGGGGCAGGAGATTAAGGCCTCATGGACAGTCAACAGGCAAAGGACAGGTAGAAACTTAGGGAAAGGTACAGCTGTAGACACCCCCAAGATGAAAAGCCTCAACTTTCAACTTACCTCTTTTCAACTTCACCCAGAAAATTCTCTTGTTCAGGTAGGAAATCTTCCTAATTTTACACTTTTTTTTAAAGACATTACAGTCACATTTCTATGGGAAATATAAATAATTCAAATGACTCTGAAATAGAAAGGCCTCAATTATTGCATATTATAATTTGAGAAAAAAATTAAACTTAAGAAAAAGCTGACAGTCAGATCAGAAGCATTACAGGAAGTTTCTTGCTCATTTTCTCCAGAGGTTAAACCAGAATATTTTTTTAAAGGGCAGGAGTTTAAGGCCTAGCTAGGGAATAAAGACATGTTTTGTCTGACACTTCCCAATTCAAATCCAACATTTATCAAATGATTCTTAAGTACTGTATTAAAAAAAAAAAACAGCCAGAAGCTGGCAGGCTAGGTATATTAAGCTTTCATTATTGTAAATTTTTATTTTAAAAACCCAATATCTTCTCTGTAAATATGCAAGGGTTTCTCTGACAATTTCTCTTTCTGTAAAGCCACTTCTCATTGAAACATTTTAAATAAAACTCTTATGAATTCTTGGCATTTGGGAGTTCAAAATCTCCCCAAAGTCAGAGGGGGAAAAGCTGCATAATTATAGTTCATTTAAGTGCAAGTCATAAAGTAATCAAAAAATGTTTCTAACCAAAAAGTAACATCTTAGAGTAGCATTTAACACAAAAAAGTACTACTGGTGGCATTTTAAAGAATTCATGCAATTTGTTATTCATTAAATTAAAAGAAAATGTACATTACCTCTTTTTTTTTTAATAAGGCAAACAACATCCCAAGCTGGTATTAACTAAACACAACTGGCCGCCACTATGTGAAAAACCAAATGCTTTAATGAGGCTATCAAGAACAACAGTTCAATTATTTCATTGGATACATTAATATCAATCCAGAATATACAGTGCTATGGACCATACAGAAATTATTGCTGTACCCAACAGCAGGTGACTACTATTAACATTACAGTACCAAGCGTCCGTAAGAGACAGTCATTTGTCATTTTTATCAAGAAATGATAACAGATTTTTATACTGTAATCAACATCAACTTTTCCCCAGTGCATATTCAAAAATATTAATAAGTGCATTCTTTTGTGCTTTGTGTTATATCTTTTAACAGCCTATATACTTTATTTGTTCTTATTGCTTTATTGTTCAAAAACAACCAGAAAGAACTTTGTCATCCTCTTTGTATGACTAGGTTGGTTGTCCTGTTTTTGGCAAAGTCAGAAGGTTTGGTATTTCCATTGCCTTACCCAGAGGCAGGTGAATAATTTTGGTATTTTGGTCACTCCAAAAGGAGGCCCAACCCTGAGTTACAATTTTGCACCCAGGGACTGGGGGAGAGGTGTGGATCATTCTCTTATTAAAAACAACTAGCCCAAACCACTGCCTCTTGGCTTAACTAGTCCCTGAAAGAAATCCACACTGTTTGGCAAAAAAGAAATAAATAAAACCACCCCCAAGGTTGCAGCCTTCTGGTGGCTTGCTCACCTGCCTCTCCCAGCAGCTGTCTCATTAGAGGAAGGAGACAGGGAAGCAGGTGACGGGAAGATCAGGAGCTGCGAGTCTCAGGACAGTGGTACGAGATGCCATACCTTCTCTCAACAAAGTATTCTATAAAGATGCTCCACCACAGCCATATTTCCTCAGCTATGGGTTGGTCAACCTTATGAAACCTTGCTCTATTGTTAAAAACCCTCAAAATCAGCTAAGGAAAACTAGCATCATAGCATAGTGATCTTCAACTGTCACACCCATTCCCCTCCCCCATATAAATATGAAGAGAAAAATAGACAATGCTATGATTGTATCAATGAACACTATGGTACAATTAGCTCTGTTCATGCAGATTTGCATTACTATTCTAGGAAAAAGAGCTATACAATTAAGGGAGTTGAAAGAATGGGAATTTCGTTTCCCTACTCCCTTAAGTAATAAAGCTATAAACTGATAGCATCATCAATGTTTCCAAAGATTCTCAACGCCTAATGTGCATGGGAACTAAGCAGTTGATGATTTTCACCAAGGCCATCCATTCATGCATCTGACAATCACTCCTCTCGAACCATTCCATCACCCATCACCAATTCACATTTGACATTTAAACACTTTTTAAAAACCCTCCTGAATAAGGTTTCCTGATGAAAGAAGTTGGCACTCTGTCACTAAAATATATTTCATATTAAAAAATATCTGAAGGAAAATTGGAAGCTCTTATATTGTCTACGTAGGCACCATGCTACGTGTTCCTTTCCACTATAGATACCATCTTCAAACATTCTCCTACATTACAGTTCAGTCAGTGCTAGTCCAAAATAGACTACTGCTTATATATTAAGGCACTTCATTCTGAATGGATATGCTGTATGCCACCCGCTATTCAACTCTAGGCTGTCACTGAGAAATCCCATTCAACAGCCTGACTTGTAACACTGTATGTCATCTGTATAAAATATCTAGGCTGGATACATGGAACACTACTGTTATTGCATAGGGTTACACAAGTAGATAATGCACTGAAACTAACTGTACAGCATGTCTGTTTGTTAAAACATTTGTTAACAAGTAACAGTAATTTGCCAATACAGCATTTCTCTCTTTAAAAAAATCCAGCAAGTTTGTTGAAATACACCTCAATTTGAATGGCCATAGTGGGCATAGTGGTGCTATGGTATTGTTTTCCAAGAATATTGCTGTTTTTGTATCCTAAAAATAAATATGTAAGTTTATTCTTTCTAGAAAGCCTGGTTTTAACCTATTAATACTACACTTTAAATGTGTTGGAAAACAGTTTCGAGTGAGACTGTAACATACAAAATATCTGCAAAGCTCTCTAAACGCAAGACCTTGCATAAAAGTTTTCATTCGTGGGTTTACAAAGAATGCAGAAAACCATCATGAGCTGTAAAAATATTGAAAACTTGCCATTTTAAGATGCATATTCTTAAAAATTAATACAAACATTGAAAAGAACAATGATAATAAAGAATCTGTACAAATCAAATGACTAAAACATAATTTAAAAATAAAAACAGGAAAGCCAATTTAGAAATGTGCACAGTTTGGTTGTCTTATCAAAAGCATAAATGAAAAAAATATGTAAAACAAATGTTCAGTGCGCCTCAATATTTCACTTTGAGAGGACATTCATTTCCATTTCAAAATAAAGTATGAAAAATTTTTCTTATGAAAAAATTGAATCACACTCATCAATGAAGAAAACTGTAACTGCTCAGCATAAAAGACAGCAAGAGTAGACTGTTTTTGAGCCTTGGTCTAGATCCTTTCAGTTTGGTTAGTATCAGTTAAGTTTTCTAACCAGACAATGCTCATGAAAATGGCTGCTTTTTTTGTTTTTTACAGAACATACTCTTCCTTTAAATAGTTTGCAATGTAGACTAAATGATGCTGGAATGGTACTGTGTCTTTAAGGCAGTACCAAGGAATCAATAAATTTATAAAATGGAAAAGGGTTAGTATGGATATCTTTTTCTCTTTCTTCCTCTTCTTCTTTTTTTAGGGGAGGGGTGCTTTACATTCTTTCAATTAAACTTTACATGTAATTTCCAAGGAAGTCACAGGCATAAAAATCTCAAACCAAGATTTCCCCTGAATAAAAATGGACAGCTATTTCTCTGATGCAAAATCCTCTTGCTCAGAAAGCTTATGTCTGGAGAATTCAGTTCACAGATACTGCACACTTATTTGTACAATACTTTGGAGGCATTTGCAGTTGTAAAATAGAATATACAAGTCTGTTTCACAAAATTCTAAAAATAAAATATATCCTGGGCTATTGATAAAGCATGAAAAAATTCATATTAAAGGAAAATTATCAAGAAAAACCCCTTCGGGTAAATTATGAAGTCTACTAATGAAGAAAGGAAGCAGTTTGTGAGGGGGCTGAGCAGGGCGGTGTCGCTAACATGCATGCTCAGTTTCTTCCATGCTCACACTGCTCCTCCGGCTGCTTGTTTTGGAAGCTCCTGGGGAAACTGAGGATAGGAGTGGGTCAGTCATGCCAACAGGGGAGAGTGTATCGTCCATCAGGATGTCTTCCAGTTTGGATCCCATCTTTGTGGGCACGTTATAGGTTGGGTTGCTCTCAGGCCCAGACCCGAGGTTGTTGGTGAAGGTGATGGTACCATCTGTGAGATCAAGGGTAGTCGTACAAGTCAGCTCTGCATGGTGCTGCAGCAGGTCTTGACTGCAGTTCTCAAGAACAGGCTCTTGCTTGATGATCCGAGTCACCAAATCCGGAGAGCAGAGACCCGTGGATGGGAGAAGGGAAAGTCCATGAGCTCGAGCCTGCATCTCAAGCTCCTATAATAAAAGTCAAAGTCAGATCATTTAATAGGTGGAGCACAGAGGACTTTTAGGGCAGTGAAACTACTCTCTGCTATAGTATAATGGTGGATATTTGTTGGTATACATTTGTCCAAACCCACAAAAGGTACATGGTCAAAACTGAATCTAAATTCAGGACTTTGGAGCATAATGAAATCTCAAGGGAGGCCCATGAATTGTAATGAATGCTCCACTCTTGTGGGAGATGCTGACAATGACGGAAGCTGTGGATGCGGTGGAAGAAATGGCAAATATGGGAACTGTCTGCAGTTGTCACTCAATTTTACTATGAACCATAAGGTTGCTCTTGAAAAAAAGACTATAAAAAATTAGACAGAAGGACAACAATAAAGTCAAAGGGTGTGGCTTTTAAAAATTAATAAACTCTGTATTTCCCAACATATAGTACAGATATGACTGGTAGTATACGAGTTTACTTTTTAGGTGGTATATACATTTTATTGTGCATTAAAAATAGACAAAATCTTACAGATATTAATGGTCCTAATGAGGATAAGCTAAAAAATGCAAGAATTAAGCATTTTTAAATGTGAGCTGATAACAAGTAAAATACTTAGTAAATAGTAACACAACCTCATGGTCCCTATGATGCACACTGAGGTACCCAAGGAGGCCCTGGAGTGCTCATGGGGCCATGGAGATATTTGAGAATTCAAGGGAAATGGTAATTGTGCCTCAGTAACTGCCCAACTCTACGTGGTTCTGTTTTGGCATGAGACTGTGTTATATAATTTTCAGTCACATCATAGCATTGCAAAGCTGGTTTTGGTGATGAGGGAGGGGTTGCTGTGACAAGGACCACCATGGGCATCAACATGGAATATGAAGCAGGGGTGGCTGAATCTAATCTGATTCCATTGGTTCCAGAAGTTGTGTGATGCTCAGCAGGCACACATCTCATTTATGAGTACCATAGTTATTTAAAAATAAAATTGAAATCATATTTTTCTTTCAATTTTTATGTTTTTTTCCCCCCAAGTACCTACTAAACTGTTAAGACCTAAATACTCAAGAACTTGTTTGGACCTAATAGAAATAGTAGAAATTTCTTTTGGTCTAAGACAAGAAGGATACCATGAAGTAAAGTTTGGGCGGTGATGGGAAAAGCTGTGCAAGTTCTATATAAGTAACTAAAGTTTTAGAAGCATTGTCTAACAATCTCACCATGACAAAGGGAATTAACTTTTCAAATTCAACAAGTTCTCATATATAAAAGAAATGGCTCCTTCCTATGTCTTTCACAGATCTTAACATGGGCTGAATTGTGCCCACCCCCCAAATTCATACATTGAAGCCTTAACTCCCACCACTTTGAAATGTGACTTCATTAGGAGATAGGGTCTTTTTTTTTAATTTATTTTTTATTATTCATATGTGCATACAATGTTTGGTTCATTTCTCCCCCCCTGCCCCCACCCTCTCCCTTACCACCCACCCTCTCGATACCCAGCAGAAACTATTTTGCCATTAAGGAGATAGGGTCTTAAATAGGTAGTTATGAGGTGATATGGATGTCCCTTTCCCCACAAGACTGTTATCCTTGTAAGAAGAAGAAACTGAGACACAGACACACCCAGAGGGAAGAATCGTGAGGACACACAGGGAGAAAATGGTTCTTTACAAGCTGAGAAGAGGGCTCAGAAGCAACCAGCCCTGCTAACACCTTGCCTTGAACATCCAGCCTCCAGAATTATAATAAAACAACTTTCTGTTGTTTAAACCACCCAGTCAGTGGTACTTTGTTATAGCACTGGATGCCTGATACACTTCCTAAGTATCAGTGCCCCACCCCACTTCAAAATATGTTCAAAGCAAGATCTTTGCATTTTCTCTCTGTGTATCCCTGGACACTCTTGAAGTGGACCACAGGGACCCCACCAGATCCCCAGTAAGCATTCTGCTTCTACATCCCAAAGCTACCCTACATTTGTGGGCAAGTCCTCATTAGAGAAGAGAGTACTCTCCACGTGACATGGTCTCTCAACCTCTGCCACAGCCTAGAAATGCATGTTCATGAAAGCCCATGTTTAGCATGAGATCCTCCTTTGATGTAACATCAGGAAGACACGGGAGCTTGAGATGCCATCTGAGTGTCTGCATGTTCCTTTACACAAGCTCTGGAAACATAAGTCCTTCAGGCATCATTTTAAAGCCCTGGGCTGTTTAATAAAATGGTACCTCCACTGATAAGGCTTCATGCTCTTTCTTCTGTGAAAATTTCTGCATGCATCACTTAGATTGAAAATGAAAAGAAACCCTTAGGCCCAAGCTGGAAACATGGGCTCTTGTAAATCTACCCCAACATGCTGATAAGAAAAACTCCTCCACACGTGCACTTTGTCTTTTCAAAAACCAAACAAATGTATTTAGATTAAGGGAAGCAAACATGGTACTCTAATCCTTTGTTGCTTAATTAAAAATATTTTTCAGCTGATTAAAGCAATGACTTCTAGATAAGGGGGTAAGTCTCATCTGGAGTACCCTGGCTTCACTGCATTGCAGAGCTTTCCGGATTAAAAATGTTTTCTATGATGTGCCAAAGTTCTACAGGCAGCCCCACAGCCACTGGAAGAAAACCAAGATATTGTCACTGTGGAATTTCCAGTACACATGTTGCAAAATATTCATATTCCACATGAATATACATGTTTGCAACCTAGAAATAAAAAAATCTAGCTTCTCTTTCAAAATAGTTATTACATTTTAATAATAGCACATTAGTATGAGCTATATTTATAAATGGGTATAAGAATTACAGGTGATTAAATAACTCTGCTTACCTATGGAAGATGTAAAATGTAAAACAAACAACAAAAGCCAAAGAAGTTGGGGAGAGGGGAAAGGAAGATTTCCAAATTACATAGAGCCTCTCTTTTACCACTCAGATTCTAAAATTCAGCCATAGAGAAGAGCCACCTGCCTCCTTCTAGCCCTATGGCTAAAGACTACTGCTGTGAATGGGAGCTGTGACACCTCAAAATGTGAAGTGTGGTGGAACATTGAGACGATTATTATTATAAATGAAGGGCTGCGTTCGGTAAGTACCACATCTGGGATGAACACCATTACCTGAAACATGCTGGATTCCGAGGGGTTAAACTTTGTGTAGCTATTCCATAAAACGATTCTGTGAATCTTGACATTGGAAATCCAAAAAGCAACCCCTGCTCTATAGCCAAATCTAGTCAAAGGGGGTCTATCTACTTAAAAAGACACAGATTATTGACTCTTATGGGTAGGTCACATTCAAAGTCTGCAAGTGAGTTGAAACTATGCTCAAAAGCCACTCTGATCAATGACAGAGTCGGCTTTGAGGACAAGAAGTTGGGTACCAACACTCAGCAGAAGAGGCTGAGTACCAGGAGTTGATGTTTTGGAGTGATCTGTCCCCATTTCCTGCCTACGCAGGTAAGTACACTCACTAGACAGAATGACAGGTGGTCTGCACATATTTAATATTTCTCCCTCCACCAGTGGGTAGTTTAGGTGAAAGATACATATGGTGTAAGTGTACTGCCTAAAACTGTTTTCAAGAATGATATCCATTTTAATCATGGGATTGACCAACTGCTTCCTACACCCCACAAATACTGAGGCATCTTTTTATTTAACATGTAAAATCACTGCTCAGTATTTGTGACACTTAAGTTTTGTGAAGTCACTGTAAACACTGAATTATTGAATATAGAATCATTGCTCCTAGGGAAAAGATGGAGTTAGGTTCCTCTAGTCACAACATTTGCATCAACTAATCAACACATAATCTTGATTTATTTATGTTTCTGCTTACAGACACCTTTTATTTTAATACACACTGTGGAGTCATTACTATTGAACTCACAGCCATCAGCACTACAACTCATGTCTGAATAAAGCTTATCTAACACCTGTGTTTTCTCTGTAAGGCACATCACAGTCTTCTTGCCCTTAGGAAAAATAGACAATACCTTACAACTATGTTTTGGCCGTATTTTAATTAGCAAAATCACCAACAAAAAAATCCCACAAAAATGTCACAGCTATTTGGGAGGTGGAGATGAGGAGGGTCACCATGGTTTGTGTCCAGCCTGAGCAACAATGAGCTGGATGCAGCAGTGTGCACCTGGATCCCAGCTATGCTAGAGGCTGTAGGTAGGAAGGTCATGGTCCAAGGCTGGCCCTGGGCAAAAACTTGAGACCCTATCAAAACAACAACTAAAAAAAAAAAGCCCAAAACACTAAAAGGCAAAAAGGGATGTGGGTTTGCTTCAGTGGTAGAGCACCTACTCAGCAAGTACAAGGCCTTGAGTTCAAAACCCAAGTACTGCCAAAAAATATGCCAAACAAACAAAAACAAAACCCCACAGAAATGTGGAAAACATGACAATGAACAGGCCAAACTCTAACCTGTTCATAGCGACGAAAGCTAAAATAAGAGGCAGGCAGGATTGTTTGACCATCACTGTAAATAAACAAAATGGGCAACTGAAACATGCCACTCTGCAGATGTCCAAGAATGACTGTGAAAATGCCACCAACATCAATTTGGGGGCTACCAATAAACTTTTACAAGTAGGCAAATTCACAAACACAGAACCTCTGAATAGGAAGGACAGCCTGTGTTGGGATTATGTAAACCAATTCCCTTATGGCTTATTATCTTCTTTCCATCCTAAAGTCAGTAATATGTGGCAAACCTTAAACAGCATGGCAGGTACCTGTATTCTGAGCAACAAATGCCGGTTGGCGTGCTCCAGCTTTTTCTGGCGGTTCTCAAGTTCTTTTGCACGTTGCTGTTCTCGCTGTAGCTTTCGGATATAGTCCACAGATGCCTTTAAAATGGTTCCCTTGTTCCAGCGCATGTCCCTGTGACAAATATGGAACAAAACACATCTTTTCAAGATTGGAAAATCAGTGAAAACTCGGTATTCAAAGCATTCAATTTCTTCAGCTATAACAACAATCAAACATCAATAATAGCTAGCGTTTATTAAATGTTTGCCATGGTGCTGGGCACCGTCCACTCATTCTGTTTACATTACCTCACTAAATATGGTCAAGAACCTTGTAAGGTAGGGATATTGTGCAGATGTTGAAACTGAGACAATTCAACGTGTCCTAGGCCACAAAGCTAACATAAGGTGGAGTTGAGATTTAATTTTCAGCCTGTTGATTACAAAATCAACACTCTTAAACACTATATTAAATAGTAACATGCTTATAGAACTACAAAAGTTTCCTTTCTTGGGAGGGGATAGGAGAAAAGGGGGAAAGAAGAGGGTGACAGGGATGAATAAGATTGAAGGAATTATGTATCTATGTATTAAAATAGCATAATGAACCCCAGTGAAACTGTTTAAAAGGAGTGGGAAGAAGATAAAAGGGCTAAGAAAGCAATTGACAGTGTGCGTTTGACCAAACCACATTACATGCATGTATGCAAATATCACAATGAAACACCTTTGTACAATTAATTTATGCCAATAATTTGTTTAAAGTTTACTCACTTGTACAGAATAAGCTATGGTAAAAAAAATACTGAGATCCTACTGCTTGGTTGTTTGTGGCATAGAAGGAGCATCCTTAGAGGTTTTTTTTTTTATTGTGAATTATCATGGCAGTTATCTATCTCTCTCTGTATCCACTTCCTCGTCTACAGAATGATGACACCACATGTGTATAAGCAACCTCATAGGTTACTGGAGCCAAAGGAAGCACTTTAGATGAATATGCTAGGAAAAATTGAAAACACAATTCAAATTATGGAGCAGGCACTGTGCTAAGTGTGAACACAATAATTATAATAGCTATCTTTCCACAGCACTTACTATATATCAATCATAACAATCTCAGTAGGTAGGTACTACTCTGATCATGTTTTTACTAACTGGAATCTAAGGCACAGAAAGGTCAAGAACTTTTTCCAAGGTCACAGAGGTAGGAAATGGCAAAGCCAGCAAGCCCAGAGAGTCTGACTCTAAACTTCCTGTCCTAAACTACTATACCATCCTTATGTGAGTAAGTCCTCAAAGCAAATAGACTACAGAGGACTATTTGATGCTCTCCCTTCCCCAACAGATGAGAAAAATGAACGTGAGTGTATCTTCCCTAAGGTCAGTTACCTTGTAAGAGGATGTTTTGGACTTCCAGCCTAGGCAACCAGGCATTTATACCTCTCAGTTCTTAGCCAGTATGGCTGCGATACGCATATGTGAGAGAATTAAGACCACCATTAAAGTGTAGATGAAAGTATTTTTTAAAAAATTAGAGTGCTCCAGAAAAAGCAATAATGAACAAACTATACATATATAAGTAATATTTTTATACTACTTGAAATTAATGTGTACCCTTTTGTAGACAGTGTCTATTATAACAATAATGGTAACAAAGATAAGAACAAAAACCATTTAATACACAGAGAATCATCCAACCCATCATCCACAGCTGCTAAGGGCAGATCAGAAGCATCAGGTGGGACATAGGAATGGCAGGCCATTAAAACAAGTCACCTAGTAATTGATCCTCACATGGGTTAAGTGAAGAACAAAACAGAAGTTCTCCCAGGAGAAGGGGAGAGAATTCCTTGGGGTGAGTCCTTGGGGTCTGAGCACCAAAGATGGCAACCCACAGAGGTGTCCTGAGATACCCAGTGTGAGCACAGAGACCTAATGTTCAGGGTGAAAATCAAAGTCACAAAAACTTTAGCAGCTAGAGAAAAACATGATTATAATGAATGATGCCTTATCTAGGCCACCAATGTGCAAAACAGATTTGGAACTTTTAAGAAAGACACAGTTTTTAAGAAGTATTTCAACAAGTTATCTTGGGGCTTGCTTCCATGTGAGACCCAACCAATCTTCTTTTTTTTTTCTTTGAGGGGAGCTGAGAGAAATCCTTTTTCCATATAGAAGCATACACAGATCCCCAATTATGATGTCAACCAAAGCAGATCTGCCCTGGGGGAAGAGTATGGGGCTAAGACACTAATTACTGGGAATGTGTTCCTAAAAAACCAGCACATTGTAGAAATCTAGTGTGGGAAAACCACCATACAGCATATACTGTTTTATCTTAAACGGTGCCTACAATGAGAGAGCGTTATCAGTTCAGGTTATAAACACCTAAGTATTCCAATACAATGGAGAAGGAATATTGCAAACACAGGCTTTCACTGTAGCCCCATCATCCCATAATATGTTACTGAAGAGATTCACATGCCACAGTTTAAAAGAATATGCTAAAAAGTGAAAGCTGATAAAGAATAGGAAAAGAGGAATTCAATTTCAACGATCATGCAAGACTGACTGTAGGAAATGAAGGTCATAGCCCTTTAGGAGGATAAATTTGTGCTGCACAACTGAGAATTTGAATGTTTCTAGTTTGAAAATGCCTTTCCTTGAAATGCAGGAAAGTGAAGTGTTGAAGATGGAAATTGTGCTCACACATTCATCAAAACCACCTCACAATAGGTAATAGTTTAATTTTATTTTGCTACAAATTTCCCGACAATAATGTGAATAGCAAATTTAATAAGCCTTGCATGAATAATGCTTGATTTCATCTTTACATTTTATTAGATAGCTAAAAGGTCATATTCAAAGGCTAATTTCATAGAATGCCTGTGGGGGCCATTAAAATGTATACATCCCCTAGCCACTGACTTCAAATGGGCCAGTACCTAATGGATAAAAATTATGTATTTGTTGTCCTATTTGCTGATGTTGCAGGTAACTCAAAGGTGGTAGGAAAGACTTGAGAAAATTATCTTTATAGCGGTTATCTCAGAAAGGAAAGACAGAGGAAGACCAAATGCTGAAACCCAAATGAGCTGACTTGTACTTGATAAGAGGATTAAACATTACTCTTTTTTCCAGATAGGTAAAATACATAAAGAGTGTGCAAGTTTTCATACAAACAATTGACCTTTTGTCTTTTGAATATCATTGAACTTGAAGTCTCCAATATCTGTTCATCAGTGCCTATTTAGAGACATTTTACAAGTCAAAGAGTACAAGTCTACAAATTTTTAACAGCTATTGAAATCTTGTACTGCATGGCTTTTAAAAGATTTTTTTTTTATCAGTATCTTGGATTTGCTTCCCAAGTATTGTTAGATTTCAGTAAGCCCAGTTCCTCACACTCAGAGCTAACCATCTCAGATCCAACAATCCTTTTGTCCAATTTGGTGCATTTCTCTTGAAATCTTAGTTTGATAAAATTAACCAAAGGCTTAAGAAGTATTTAGAAAAGGAACCAAAGGGAAAGGGGAACTTCTTTAATTTTTATAATTGCATATTTTACAACATATGAGAAAATATGAAGATACAAAAATATATGGTGCAGATTAACATGCATTTATACTCACGGGTCATTTGACTTGGGGATCAGAGTACCTAGTTCTTTAATGCGGTCATTTATGTTAAATCTTCTTCTTCGTTCAACTTTAGGAAAAGAGCACAGGAAAGGGCTATTAGGAAGCGTGCCACATGTGCATTTAGCACAGCTCATTAAAGGCATGTGCACATTAACTTCACCAGGTCAGGACAATGTAAACCTGAACCTATTCACTCCCCCATCCCCAACCCGTCCTTACCATGGTTTGGTATTGAGGTTAAGGCACTTACAAAAATGAGCTGCCTCTATGTAACAGAACCTTATCACTCACATTAGCCCTTAGATATGCAATTTCTCATTTGATCCTATTATAATCTTTAATTCAGAGTTGCTATCCTCAATTACAAATGACAAACTACTTTTGAGCTATTAGGGACACAGAGAGGACAGCCAGTGATAAGCAGTGAACAGCTAGAACTCAAACCTAATGCTATGGAACCAGGCTCAGCAAACTTCGTGCAGAGGACCACACAGTGAGTTCACCTTGCTTTAGGCCAAACAACAAAATTGAGGATATCTGTATTATACTGATACAACTACGGAGAAAACAAATTTCCATAATTTTTTCCTGACAAAACCCCCAAATCTAATATCAACTGAGTCTACCTTTTAAAACACAAGTCTACTAATGAAAGGCATTAGAATTTCTCATAATGCCAAAGCATGAATTTTATATAATTTTCATGTCACAAAACATTACTCATTTTTTGATTTCTTATTAACCATTTAAAATATAAAAAAATTTCTTAGCTCCTGGGATATATAAAAATCCCTGTTCTAGGTCAGTACTACCCAAAAGAAAGATGTTAAAAGCTACATATGTATTTTTAAATTCACTACTAGGTATATTAAAATAGTAAAAAGAGAGGTAAAAATAACTGTACTATTTTATTAAACCTTGTACACATAAACCATGATCATTATAGCAGATAATCAATATAAAAGTTATAAGTTACATGGTGAACATTCTTTTCTCCATTCTAAGGTTTTGAAATCACATTTAGATTAACCACATTTCAGATGCTCAACAGATACAAGTGGTCAGTAGCCACCATACTGGATGGCATAGCCCTAGAACTTAAATCCAGCATTTTAAACTGCATCATGCATCTTTACAGCATCCCTATCTCATAAATTCAGTTGTCTGTTCCACTAAATTATCACCTTCTCAGAGGAGGAAGACATAGTAGAGCATATGAAGTACTAAGTTTTTCTAATTTACCCCATCTAGCAAATAAATTTCAAATAAGTTAAGGCCTAATAAATTAGGCTTACTTTAAATACTCCACTATATATTTATACTTGACCTAGTAATACTCTGCACATGTAGATAAATATTATTCACATCTTTCCAAAGTAAATTGCAGTTTGTCTTGGATGAGTAGTACTCCAGTGATTGAATTGGTTATATAGATAATTCTAAGTCTTACCATTTGCCCTGAAGACAGAAATACTAAGTGACAATCAAAGTGCTGACAGAGCAATGTTTAGATTCATGACCCACTAGCTGACATACCCTAAAATTCTGATCAATGTCATTTTTTCTTGCTTTTCCTAAACATAAAAATGATAAAAATTCAAACGATACATACAGTGAAATAAAAGTCCACTATGATCCACTGTTAAGTGTCATATATTCCTTGTGATTATTTTTATGCTCTTAAAATACACACACACACACAGGACATAGCCTCATCCCCTCCTGATTTATTTCCCCTTTGTAGGGATCTCTGCCTTCTACTTTTGAATATGCCCTGATGGTCCTCACACTTCTAATCTCCAGAGCGCACACATCACCCTGGAAGCCTGATTCATACACTTGACCACTAGATGTTTCCAAGTGGCAGTCTACTGGACTGCCCAGATGCTCCAGAGATGAGTTCTGATCTTTTCTGCTCAGCTCAGGCCCATCTACAGGCTTAATATAACTCACCCCATTTAATAGTAACAATACCCAGAAACTTGGAATCAGGTCTATGCCTCTCTTCCTCTCACAACCCTCAACTATCATCAAATCTGCTGCTCTGTCTTCAAACTATTTCCAGAATCTGTCCTCTTCCAGCTTCCACTGCTGCTTGAGAGACAGCACCATCATTCCTTGTCTACATGACCGCGATCCTCTTAGAGACACCTCTGCTTCCTCCATGCCCACTACTCCTACTCCCTTTACTTAGTCATGAACACAGAGAAAATCCAAGTCTTGAGGTGTTCCACAACGATCCAATTGGCCCTCTGACCTCTTTCTACTCCTCACCAATGGGGCTGCATCTCTCCTCATGATTCATCTGTCCTCCTTCCCTTTTGCCCCACCAGCTCCTTGCTATGACCTAACCAAACCAGACACATTCTCCATCTTAGGATGTCATATGCTATTCTGTCTGCCTAGAACCCTTTACTTCCAGATATCTGAATGGCTCTGTCCTTCCCTCCCTCAGGGAGTAATTCAATTTTACCCATGAGAGTTCCTAGGTCACCCTATTCACAACTGACCCACTACCTCTCACACCCATTCTGGTACTATAGCCCCTGGACTGCATTTTGTCTCCTCATAGAACTCTGTACCAACTAATATTTACATATTTCATTTGCTTACTGTGTTTATGCACTGTTGCAGTCTAGACAACCATATGTGCCTGACACAAATAAGTGTTACAGAACAATACATTTAAAGTGGAATTGCACTATCTCATGTGACAGTGAGAAACACTGTCAACATTGTTGATATCTTTCACTGTCAACATTTAGATGTGCCACATTCTATTTTTAATATAGGAATTCCCTCTCCAAATATTTATTATAAAAGTAATATAGCTTGTAAAAGTGTTTTTTTTAAGTACCCAAACGGGCTGGGTATGATGGCACATGCCTGTAATCTCATCACTGGAAAGGCTGAAGCAGAAGGATTGCAAGCTTTAGACCAGCCTAGGCTACATGGGTGACCCTGCCTCATTAAAAAAAATAAACTAAATAAACTAAAAAATGCTAAAGTGTAGAGAGTAAAAAGTAAAAGCCAATTCTTTCACACTATCCAACATCCAGTCGCTAATAGAGGGGATTTCTAGATCTTTTCCCAAGCACCCACCCATCAATATAAACACGGACAAATACAGCCCTCCACACTGTGCTTCCTTTACACAGTGAACTGCTATCTTCACTATCCTGCTACTTCCTCTGCTCACTGAGTAGAACCTGGTAGATCAACCCTGACTTGAATGCCAGCTCCTAAGGGTGGGCAACCCATTTGCCTGGCTCATTTCTATAGAAAAGTTTCCTGTACAAACCTGGGACTCAATGAACAGTAATGGCAAGTGAATGAGTGAATATGCAAATGTATTCTTTTGCACATTTTGGCAAATATTCTTAAAGGATAAATTCCTCAAAGAGGAAGAACTGGGTCAAAAGGCAACCTGACCCTGAGTATTAATTTCCAGTGGTGAGCCAAAACAAGAATTCTTTTATAGTCCTCAGAGTTTGAGCTAATCCTGTTTGAACTTTGCTGACAACCCCGAACTCAAAAACTCAGGTGCCTACATAAATGTAAACATCATTTTTGGCAAGATTCACCTTCGTTTTCCACATCTCAGTTTGGATAATGCCTCATTATCTTATTTGTAAGATAAGAGAGGTTGTAGGGCAACTTTGGAGCTATTCATCTGTCAACTTATGGTTGAAAGACAAGGAAAGCTTCTTATATCTAAAATGGAAACTGGGGAGGGCAGTAGCTATTAAGAATAAAACTATTCCCCTGACCTGAACCTAGCCAGTCCACTTCTTGGTACCCAGCCTAAAGAAGCAAGCCCTCCTGCACAAAGAAGCATGTGTGAAATGTCTGCTGTGACTGGTTATTGTAGAGAAAACTAGAAACAACACACACACAACAGCAGGGAACTTACTAAGAATCATGCAGTCACAATGTGGAATACTATGTAATAGTATTTAAAAGGTAGATCTAGGTTTCTAACAGAAAAGGTCTTTAGAACATACTGTTTTGGTTTAAAAAAAAAGAGCAACAGAATCTGGACAGTATAATATTTTGTGTTAAAACACATATAAAAAGATGCTCTTTTCCCCCTGTGTGCATGTGTATATGTGTCTATTCTTAACTATAGCAAAAAAGGTCAGGAAAAAAACAGCATAAAAAATAAACAATGCTTAATCCTGGGATTAAAGAACTCTGCCTTTTTTCTATCCTGTTTTCTTATGAGAAAGTGTTGCCCTCAACTCAGAGAAACTAAAGCAGATACCTTAAAAGCAACTGAGGCCAATAGGAAAAGGGGAACAGATACTAGAGAAAAGGTTAGTTCAAGAAGAATTAACCTAGAAGGTAACACCCACGCACAGAAAATCAATGTGAGTCAATGCCCTGTATAGCTATCCTTATCTCAACCAGCAAAAACCCTTGTTCCTTCCTATTATTGCTTATACTCTCTCTACAACAAAATTAGAAATAAGGGCAAAATAGTTTTTGCTGGGTATTGGGGGGTGGAGAGGGAGGGGGCGGACTGGGTGGTAAGGGAGGGGGTGGGGGCAGGGGAGAGAAATGAACCAAGCCTTATATGCACATATGAATAATAAAAGAAAAAGGAAAAAAAAATTCATATTCTTAAGAATTAATTTAGGAAAAAAAAAGAGGACATGAGGCTACGAGATGAGAAATTCACATACAAACTATTTCCTACCTCCAAGTCCAGCCCCAATTTTTACTATGCAGAATCTCTTAAGTGTGTATATTAAACATAATTGCAAGATTTTATAGGAAAGGGCTTAAAATTTAAGAGTAAATTCAATGCATAAAAATACCTTAAATATTACAGGACATTTAAATGTTAGTAATGTCAGAAATTTGGGAGGATACCTCATCTACTTTCTCCCCTTCAGAGCTGTTTCTCTTCTTTCTTACTTTCTTTTCTTGCAAATCTCACTGGAGAAGATGATCTCATGATCCCATAATCTCCCTTTGTTAATAGGTACCAGTATGAACACCACTTATAATTAGGTAGTTGGGGATCAAGTTCTAGCACTCTCTCTCTCTCTCTCTATCTCTCTCTCTCTCTCTCTCTCACACACACACACACACACATATTCACTATGCTAAACAAACAAACAAAAATAGAAACAGGAACAAGTATATACACCACAGTTTCTATGAAATACAAATTTCCTCTGTAAAAGTTACCTTTAACAGCCAATGGAATCAATTTTGCTCCAAAATCTCTGGAAAATTTTTTGGTAGATGAAGGTACATAAACTTCAAGATCAAATTTCACAGACATAAATAAAACCACTTACTCAAATTGTGATTGTCCTTTTTTTGCCTCTCTTTAGCCAATGCTCTTGCTTCAGACTCTGTGGGAAAAATACACGCTGTGCACGTGAATGAAGTAATTAGAAGTTGGAAATGTTCACAGGATTCAACAATGTTAACTACAAAACATCTCTTCTTCTACTCATATAGAAGCTTGTATGACTTGATTCTAAATAAAAATGCGATTTTTTAAAGATATCTTTTAAAAACTTGTACTTTTTCAAAAGTACAAAACACTTATTTTAAATATATGCAAAAACTCAGTTCCCACAACTATCCACAGAAGAATGATTTATCTCCACACTCTCTTCTTTGATGATTCTTAGGGTTTTTTGTTGTCTTAGATGTTTTCTTTCTGGTACAGTTCCCACTTGTTTTTCATTTTGGATAGTTTTACTTCTTAATTAATTACTCCCTTTACCTAAATTAATGATTTTCTTTTAAAAATTTATTTCTTTGGCCACAATTTTCTAAAATAATTTTTGGAAAAGTTAACCTTGAACAGGATAGGATATTTTTGCACCAACTCATATGCCATATTCTCAATCTATTCCCCAATATTCAAGAGGCAAGAACCAAATAGTAAAAAGAGGTGTGGGGAAAGGGCCATAAAATTCACTATGGTAGAGTGTTAGTTCTAATACTGCTTCTGTCACATTTTAATGGTCAAATGTCTTCCCTAAAACATAAAATGAAGTAGCAAAATAGGTCATTTCACACTTGTCTTAAGAACAAACTGTTCTGATCACTCCGTTTTATAATTTATCCCCCCTTGTGGAATAAATCTTTTGTATGTAATTTGTAAAAATAACGGAGGCATGTGAAGATAAGAAATAGATTCTTACCTTATCCCAAATGGGCTTGAGTGTGTGTCAAAGGAGAATTCAAAAGTAACATAAACTGGGTTGGGTGGAGATAGTTAAAGGTGAAAATACTACCCGCCACCCCCACCCCAAAGAGGACAGCAGTCGCAGATACAGTGACCAGCATCAGTAAAGATAGTGGTTGCCATTCCCAGTGTCTCAGGAAACCTAGGATTTTCCAGTATAACTCTTGCATCTTGAAACACGGCAGTGTTTCAGTGATGGCGGTTGACCTAAGAAACTGTGTTCCTGAGTTGGGTACAGTCAGGACACTACTGTACCAATAACTTTGTCCTCTCCAGAAGATAACACAATGTCACAGCAATAGACCCTTTTGCTGGGTACAAACCTGTGAGCTCTCTTTTTATGTTGGGAAGGTTGGCAGGACAGGAGTTGCTGATGGTGAGGCCTGGGGGCGGCAGGCCTTGGTTGCTGTACAGGTCTATCAAGTTTCCAGAGACAGGTAACTGACAAGAAACAAGAACAGTAATGAATTGTTGAGTAATCCCCAAGGTTTTCAGATAAAACTCATGTCCTATTCCAGGGTGTGTGTTTGTTTTTTTTTTTTTTTGTAGCTATGGGGATTGAACTCAGGGCCTCACACTTGCTAAGCAAATGCTCTATCACTTGAGCCACATCCCACATCTTAGCCTTTTTTGCTTTAGTTATTTTTAGGAGTCTCATGCTTTCTCTCAGGCCTACTTCAGACCTTGATCCACCTTCTTTCTCCTCCCACATAGTTAGGATTACAGACATGAACCACCAGTCCTGACTTGTTGGACATACAGTCTCACTAAATTTTTTGCTCTAGCTGACCACCTTACATGGCCTGTTCCAGGCTTTATTTAAAGGAAATGGTATGTTATAAGAAGCCATTTTTAAAATAGGAAAATAAAGTATTTTTTTTCATCCACTGAGATATTCGTCATATGACTTAGCTAGAAAGAGGAGAGGGCAGTCTCACACCAATAAAATAGTTGTACAACCTAGCTGGTGGGATTATTTAGGCATGGAGACCATGGACCATGGAAAATGTGGCAAACGCATTATCTACTACGATGCCAGCAAATGCTGGCTATGATTATAAAACAGGATATTGTATGTGGGATTTTCCACCGAATTGAGTTTCCTATCAAAGTCTATTTTTTTCCTTCCCTCTTCCACTCCCTTCCTCTCTTTCTTTTATAAGAAAAGACAATGTAAATGTTTTTATTTTTGGAAAGGAATTGATTTCCTTATAGCTATTTTCCTTGAAATTGAAATCTTTCAGAAAGCCACAAGAGGGAGCCCACAGACTTCAGTAAAAGAACAAAAATTTACACTTACAAAAAAAAAAAAAAAAGAATAAAAGAAACCTTCTCAAACTAAAACTAGTTTAAAAGGCTTCCTTCTCCTCCTAGTTTTGAATTGGATGTTTTAAAGGAATGAATTCATTTTTCTCCCAACACTGACTTCCTTTGGTTAGACATGCATTTCCCTGTAACTAGTTGGCTAGAGTAGTTTTACACACTTATTTTTACTAGGAGAGGCCCAGGGCCTTCTTCTTCTCATGCTCTTAAAAAAGTTCTAAACATGAAGAATGAAGAAAGAGTGAAGTCACTGTGCTCTTCCCACTGCAGACACTTGCATTTTCAGATTATTTCAAACTATTTCAGTAACTGTGATTACTGGATACCTAAGACATTATGTCATTTAGGTTTTGTTTTTGTTTTTGTTTTTTTTTTTTGATTACACACTGCAAAGTTTAATTTTCATTTGAGAGAAGCAAATTCAGAAAGCACTTAAAGGTGATTAAAACATTTAGTGATCAAGAGGTGTCCAGTAAAGACTGTACTAAATACACAGTTTGAGTATCCCTTATCCTAAATATATCCAGAAGTCTTTGGGACTTTGGATTTTTCTGGAGTTTCACGAGATACTTAATAAAGCATCTTAGAGATGAAATATAACTCTAAACATGAAATTAACTTATGTTTAATATACATCTTATACACATAGCCTAAAGATAATTTTATGCAACATTTTTAGTATACCTGCCTTCTGACTATGACCTGTCACATGAGGCCAGGTATAGAACTTTCCATGTATGTCATCAAGCTTGTGCTTAAAAAGTTTCAGATGTTAGAGCATTTTGGATTTCAGATTTTTGGCTTAGGGATGCCCACCCTGTTCATCCTCTCCAAAGACCATTAGCATATAGATGCAAATGTGCCATAAAATAAAAATAGAATCAGGTGTGTCTCCCTTCCTTGGTAGCTATGTCCATCTGTCCCTATGATGGCTTCTAAATAAGCACTCCATGAACTAAATCCCCAGCTGAAGAGGTGGGCTGGAGAGTGGTATACACAGATAGGATGATTTGACACTGGCTTTAACAGGATTGGGTGGGCAGTGAGGATGGTAAGGTCAGCAGGACCCAGCCCATCTTGGGCTCCTTGATGAAAGCAGCATTTATATAGCTACATAAACATAACATACATGCCCCCTTGCACACAGGTCAATAGTAAACACTGGGCTAATTTAAAATGTCCTTGAACCATATTTCAAGGGCCTCCAGCTAAGGAACTGACAAAAAGTGACTTTGATTATTAGTTGTCATTTTACTAAGTGGTTCTATTTGAAATAGGTCACCTTCTCAGGGTCAACCTTGCTCTTTGTGTGTTCATTTTTAACACAAAGTGAAAGGCATTCACATGTTTCAACACAGCATGGTCAAGGGTCAGAAAGATAAAACTCACAAAACTGCTACAAACATGATGTCTAGTTATACCTCCCAAATCCAAACCTTTATTGTTTCTGGAGTTTCAGAGATGGGGAAAAACTTGTAGGTATAAAACCAAGAATGTAACTGGAAAATTCAAAACAATAAGCTAAAAAAATTATTCCCACAGCTCTAGAAATGCAAATCGTGTATTTTATATTTTCATATCAAACTGGACGTAAAACATTCAATCATGTTACAAAATGCTTCTTTAAGGATAAGTAGCAGGCATGTGTTATGTGTAGCTGGCTTTAAAAACATACCTCTGAGTCATCCATGAATCTAATCTTGAACAACCACTTAATTCTAAACTTTTCCAGATGGAAAACATATTTTCTAACTTATTCTAAAGGAAGATGATACATACTGTACATATAGTTAATAAAATTCAGAATGCATATTTAAGAAATGATTCCAGGTTGGACCCTGAGCTTTGACAACAAAAAGAAAAAATAGAAAGGAAAGGAAAGAGAAGGGAGAAAAGAAAAATTTTAAATTCTAAGGTTTCCTTCATGGATTGGCAGAATTCCCCCATAAATATAGTTAGCATCATAATTAGGTCAAAACAACACCTCTGGAATGAGGAAAGGGGAAGTCATTTGTTAACATTGCTGTACTGAATTTTTGCTGCGTTTTTATCCAGAATATTAACTTTGTAGACAGGATTTCTCTTCCAGAGCATGAGCTCTACAGTGTACACAAAGAAGCACAGTCTAAATCATGACAAATGACGGACAAAGGAAAGGTAGCTATGCCTGTGTCTTTGTCCCAGTCATGGTCTGAACTGAGTTCTTCAGTGCTCCGCACCACCAAAATGAATATTTTTCCAAGTAAATGATCATTGTAAAATGTTATTATTTTTTCTCTCTGGATGTTCCCCTTCTCTGAATATCAATTGCACACTGTTAACACAAGTAAACTGGGACTTTTATTCTTTGTTCGTTATGGTACAAGAGGGCCCTTGTGCTCTCAGAATGGTTATTTCTAGACCTTAATTCCCTCAGGATACTTTCCTCTCTATGTGTTCCTTCTACTTTTTTTAAGTAGTTAACTTGAAATAAAGCATTTTAAAGAATCAAATAAAAGAAAAAAATGCCTACCCTGAAGAACATTAAATTTAAACTTTACTGTGTGAAAAAATTAAAATGTGAATAGGTTAGAGTACCTTAATTATGCAATTTTGAAAATTAAAACCCAGGTTTACTAAGAATAAGAGCTGGTAACTAACTGTTAGTGAGAGCTTATCAGGGCTAGAATTGTTATGAATGCTTTCTGTGAATTATCTCCTATAGTTCTCACTCTAATTCTATTGTGGTAGATGTGACCATTCTCTCTAAAGAGTAGGAAACTGAGGCAGAGAGGTCAAAGAACTCACTCAAGAATTCATTCAAGCACAAGGATGTAACTCTGTGGTAGAATATTTGCCTAACATGCATGAGGCCCTGGGTTTGGTCCTCAGCACCACAAAAATCAAACAAAAAAAGAGCATGCATTCAGATGTCTGGTTCAATGTCTCTGCTCCTAACATGTACACAATATTGTCCTTCCTCTAGAAGAAAATGCTGCAATAGTTTTGCAATAACAAGACTCTAATGAGGTGACATTTTGCTTTTTCCATATGGTGATACAAAAAAAGAAGTAGATATCAGGGTAAAGCTGGGACCTATGCTGGCATGCACAGCCTCACCATGAGGGACACTGTGATTACTAAGTAGTCATTCTGACACAGAGCTTGGTACATTATAGGTGCTCAATGAATATTAGCTGAATAAACAAATACTATCAAAACTGTTTGATATCACAACTAATATATTATAATGAAAAATTTAGATAATACTGTTGAGTGCACCTTATGTTTCCAAAGCTAAATGCTATACTATCAAATAAGACGATATATGAGGTAGATGTAACTAATAGCCTCATTTTAGATGGGGAAGCAGGAGTTAAAGAAGATAAGTAGCATGTAAGGTCACAGAATAAATGGCAGACTTTGGATTTGAACTCAGGTCTAGTCAAAATTCTCCAACTCTTGACCATTATGTTTTGCTGCTTCCCTACTGAATTAGTGCAGATCCTTCAGTGGAGGTCTCTAAGAAGCTGCCTACCTGGTATTTTGTGGGGAACAGAAATGATATGCAAGAGGAGGTTATTGCAGTGAGTACTGGTTCCTTTAGCTGAGGTGTACTAAGTCAGGCATTGGATGTCATGGAGAACTGGAAGGCTGACTGTCCCATTGAAGGTGCACTTGAACTCCAAGGAACATAGAGCTTTATCACAATGTTCCTGATGAACTCTTGAAAAATTCTTAATTTCTAATGTCAAAGTCACTTACTTGTGAACCTAAGATAATTTTACATTTTGTTATTAATAAATTCTCAAGTGATCAGTTGCAAAAATAAACTAAGAATTCAGGCAAAGGGAGAAAATACTGGAAAATAAGTCAAGATTTTCTTTAAAAAGAAAAAAAAGGTCATCAATACCGTATTTGCCATTTGCAAGGCAGGATCCATCAGGCCCAGGATTTCTTCATTATAACTTGATTCCAGGCTAATGATGTCATCAATTACATCATCCATCTGTAGGAAAAGGAGCCATGGAAGAGAAATAGAAATGAGTAAAAAATACAACACAGTCTCCAAAGAGACATCCTTAATCCTTTCCTACATAAAACAATAATAATCCCTAGTTAGATTCTAAGAAGCAATTGTTCTCTTTCTACTAGAATAAAAATATTATTGAAGACCCTTAACACTGAAGGGTGATGAGAACACTTGCAGCCAGCATCTGTGTGCTGAGCTTAGAGATTCCCATGGGCTGGATGATTTATCCTGACACAAACACTGTCAGGATGGCTACTAGGATTACAGAGACTGTCCAGGTGAGATAACAAGAAGCAGCTTGCCTATAGTCACCCATGGAAGCAGGGTTGGAGCTGCTCTTCCTAAACAGGAAAGATGAGCCAGGAAGCTTCATCTGAAGGATAGTTGCCATTTCCTCTTTTTCCCCTTTCCATACCCCTCTGGGAAGAGGAAAAGGTAGATGGTAATTTTGCCTTTTGGTTCCACGAGAACTTGCAAGCCATAGGCTGGCTCTGTACAGATCTTACAGTGACTTGTAAAACAAGTGTCTCCTTGTACAGCTGCCAGTGGGCTTGGTGCTCCCCAAGGAGCACACCAGGACGAAGTTATCATTACAGTCTTGGAGCTGACATTCCCACTAGATCAATTTTAATGCTAAAGTACCAAAACATCAGTTACGATAATAAACAACGGTGATTACACATGCATTGCAGCAGTTGCAAGGAGAAGCCTGTGGAAACATTTCTTCATAAACAACTTGTGTACTTGAGCTGGTTGTGTGAGTGTGCTGAGTCTAAACAGTGGTTCTACAGTAGACAATGAGATCCCAGAACACAGAGGGGCAGTTCTCCATGTTTGTCTGCCCCTCCTATTAAGGTGGCAAAACTCCAACATCACAGGGCTTGGGATGGAATCGTGGTTCTCCCATTTCTAGATCTCCAATCTTTACGAGCCTCAGTGTGCTGATCTGTACAATGGGAGCCAACAATACTTATTGCCTTCTTGGAGTCTGGTCAGACTCCAGGATAAAACATATAAATTGCTCAGAGTCAGGAGTAAAGTAAGTGTGGAAAAAAAGGGGGGAGGCTACCAGTGATCCCTCAGGATAACTGGCAGCAGTGTTGAATAATCCTAGCACACTAGCACACTACATGTTAGGCGCCAATTCTAGGTACACCTGTTTTATTCATTTTGTTTGCTTTTAATAGACGATTTTATAACTGAGTTGACAGATAGGAAAATAGGCCAGGGACTTATGGACAGCTTTTTTTTTGTAAATAAATATTTAACACTACTTTTAGGAAAATAAAATCAGTGTGCTTAATATGATATTTTAAAAATATTTTGTCATTTATGGCAAAAGCAATGCAAGTTGATGCTAGGAAATAAATTATGGGCTATAGAAAATATTCTGCATTTTAATACAGAAATGTAGACTAGCAATATCTGTATATACACATAAATATGTAGCATAATTTATTCACTAAATAGAGCATTATACAAGAAGCTTTAATTACTTAGGAAAATACCCTGTAGATATTATTCAATTAATCATTAGCATATTATTAATTATATTCTTAGTATTCTTAATAAATTGTCTCATGCACTGTGAGATTCCGTTTATAAAACAATATATAGATTACACACAGAGACACACATTGGTTTTATTAATATTCCATGAAAATTGCTACCCTACAAATCCACAAAATGAAATATAAGTTTATACTTTATTTATAAAATAAAATTTATGTACTTTTCTCACTTCTTACGATTTAAGGCCACTTGGGGGAAAAACACATTCAATTTGCTTAGTAATTATTCAGTCATGAGCAACTATGAAGAAAGTGGCCCTGTTCATAGCTTCCTCTATCTAAAAAAAATCAATGGGAAGAAAATAAAAGCCCTTAAGTCACCAGGCAGGTGTGACCAGTCACAAATATAGCTTCTCATTATGAAGTGCTACATCCTCAGGCTGCCCAGCCATTCAGTACCTGCATACACGATGCTCGGGAATGAGCATTCAGGCTTGGGCACTCGCTCTCCGCCCTGTTTTGCTCTTCAAACTTATAAAATCCCTGCAAAAACACAAGCAAAAACACCCCATGACTTGGGTTTGCAAATGACTTTTCAGTGACATGCTCGCACAAGGCTGATAGCATAGCAAAAAGATGAACTGAGCTTTCAAACAAGGTAGCATCTGACCAAGAGACAGAATGTTGAAGGAAGAACTCACATCAGGTCATCCTGTTAGATGACAGGTAGGGACAGAGAAAAATAGCATTTGGTTGGGCCACAGTGTAAAAGATTCAGTCCCTCTAATGATTAAAACCAACCAAACATCTTAGAAAAGTCACCTCGGAAGTCCCATAGACATTTTGGAGTATAGTAAAACTCCATTCACATGAGGTTTGTCATCTCTTAGTTTGGAAATAACAAGCAATAAATCACAACTATCCTCTTAGGTATTTTAATGCTCCAAACTTTGATGCAACAATCAGCTTGAAGGTCTCTTTGAGTCTTGTCTCCAAGCCAGCCTTTACCAAAGCAGATGGAACGGGCAGCAGAAATTTCATGATGAAGCTGAATGTGTCCAGCGGTAACCCTTTCTTTGCTTTTCCATTAAATTCTCACGTGCGGCATTATTCAAATCTGTCCACATCTGTGCTCTTTCTTTTTTTTCAACTCAGGGAGAAATAAAAATAATATTCCAGACTTTCACAACAAGCGGAACTTCTAACCTGCCTGTCCCACACCTTTTCTATTTTTACTTTTTCTTTCCACCTTCCCTTCTCCTCTCTCTGCATTTTCACTGCTTTGTAAACCAGAGGGTATGGAAGGGAAGAGAGCACTCAGCTAACCAAGTAGAAATGATCTGAGAACGCTTCTTTGCCTCCACATTTTGCTTAGAGCAGGCCAGGTCTCCATCCTGTGCAATGATCCCAATAACCCAGTGATGGTGACATGAGGCTGGAACATGACAGCCACCCTGGCAAATCAGGGACTGAGGCTGGTGACTGGGGCCAGATGGACAGGATAATGTCCATAGTTAAAGGAGGAGAAGAACATCCAACAGACAGTTATTGAGTGTAAGGAAACAGGAGAGGAGAGGAGACGTGAATTACCTCTTTTTCACAGTTGGAGTTAAGTGTGAGCATGGCCATGGGGCTGTTGGGTGCGCTGCTCCCGGGCACTGGTGGCATGACATGGTCGCCAGGCTGGTTTGGACATGGCAAGCTCAGGACTTGGTTGGCATGTTTATTTGCTAAAGTGGTAGAAAGGTACTGCTTTACCTGCTGCCTTTGGGCTTGCTGTATGTGGTACTTGGTGGGGTTTTCCAGGTGGGTCTGCACCTGAACACAGTCATGGAGGGAAAAGAAGAGCATCGTTATTTCTGAGTTTGCAGCAGCTCTTCCTCCAGCCACAAAACACGAGATGGACCAGTCCATCAACAGAATAAATTACCAAGTCCCTCTTAGGTACCAGGCACTGGGCTAATGGATTTTGACATTACTCAAGTTTAAAGTCTAATTGGTCGGATTTGGGGTAATACTTTGTCCTATTTTATTTCCCTGCTAACTAACCATACACCGCTGTCAAACCTAATGTCTAATTATTAAATATTTGCAACTATGTGTAGGCCAAAAATTGTCCCAACACACCTGAAATCCTTTAAAAAAATCAAAACAACAAACCCAAAGAAAATATATAATTCAGTTTATCTTTCCTTGGCAAACATCGGCTTTAGTTAAAACACACACACACTGTAAAAACTCCGTATGAACCAACTGTAACATGACTGTAGAAAATAAACATTTCAATGTTTAAATCAACCAGCTGTTGATTAACTCCTATTTCATTTATGCATGATTATTCAGCAGTTTAATTATGAAAGAACTCAGTGGAAAAAGCAATTCCACATGAAGCTGCTTCTTTCAAATGTATAACACCCCTATGTATGTGTCTTTACATGTATGACTATTAATAAGCCACAAGGACATTTTTTATCTTTTTCTGTAAACACTAATATAGAATTAGAAATGCATTTTCAAAATTCAATGACATTCCATTTGAAGTCACTTTTTCCTTGACAAACACAATTTGATCTTCTGAACTATGAACAGGAGCTGATGCAGTCACATACTAGGCAAATAAATCCTACTAATATTTACTGTTAAAAACCACACAGAATTACTTCCTAAGGTATCAGACAATAAATAACATAAATGAGTAGAGGTGCACTTATTGAAAACAGTATGCCTATTCTGATAACATTTAAGAGGAGAATTAGTGAACTCATGCAACATATTTCTGAAGTTGAAATTGAATAAGGATAAAAGCTCACCTGAAAGTGATTATATTCTAGCATTTCCAGCATAACAATGTTGTACGTGGCTCCAATCTAACGAGAAACGGTAGGCTATCCTCCCTCTACTTTCCGTAATTCCAATTCCAAGACGGACTACAGAGAAGGCACTATAAACAAGGTATCCCGAGACACCACCAGAAACTCTATCACAGCGGCACTGCTTATAATAACCTAAGCTAATTAGTTATGCGTGTAAAAAAAAAAAGTTCTCACAAGGAGCTTTTTTTTTTTCCTTTTGGAATTCCTACAAGTTTGGGCTTAAATATTGATATCAGTCCTCCCCCTTGGCTTGACGTCATGCTTTTTTTCATAAATATAAAAGAACCTTTTTAAGGGATGAGCTATCAAAGTCAAACTCACTGTCAGATCAAGGCCAATTCACTATTCATCTTTAGTTCCAGCAGTATTAATAGACAATGGTATTTCTCTTTTAGCAATAGGTTGAGAGCTGGATGCCCCCTTTGGAGGAGACACTGCTTGAAAGCTACTGTTACACATGAGACTTTCCTAATGGCTGAGGAACTCTACCACTTCCGCTGCAGAAGGATTGTCTTTCAGTGTGGAAGACACTCTGTGCTGAACTTTTGGGCTTCAGCTGGCATCCTGGTCTCAACAGGCACCTTATTCTTAAGTGTGTGGAAGTGTAACTTGCCGACTGATCTCATATCAATGAGAGGGTCTGTGCTAAACAACATACAGAACACGCACACAGCACACACATACACAAACACACCTCAGAGATCTACCTGTGTACCCTGAGGAACATCCTCCTCACTGAACCCTCAAATTAGGAAACATGGAAAATTTTACTGAGCATCTTTTGATACAGCTCTTGGGACTAGAGAAGAATAAGTTACCATGATATATAATTGATGCATTTATATATATTTATTTATTCATTTCATTCTTTACTTTATTATGTGATATGTTTATATATCTACTCGTTTACTCATTCCATTATATCCTGGTATCATGGGTTAAACACTGCAAATCATAGAGTATACATGGTGAACAAACAGAAAGCAGAAATGATTTCTGGCTTTATAGTCTGGGTGAAGCAAAAGAATGAAAAGAGATAAACAAAAATGTATTTAAAATTATGATGCATGTTTAATAGCACTGACTTTAAGTTTAAGTTCATCAATTTGACTCAATGCTCAGGAAAATGAAGTTGTTGAGGTTGACCGTCTCAAGTTGTTTCCAGCCTCACATGCACACAGAGATTCGCAGAGACACTTTAAATTTCATAAAGGGTCCAGACATGATAATGATGAGAACAATAGACATGACTAAAATAAACAGAAAATGAGGGCAATGAGCAGAATGTGCTTATTTCGCTACTACACTTAAAAAAGAAAGCTGCACATTTAAAAATAAATCTTAATTCACTGGCAGATCCTTATTCTTTAATGAATCAGAATTTCATGTTTTGTAAGGAAGGAAGTGACTTGCTTTCTACCTGACTCTGTCGCTGAGGTCATCTTTACTACACCCAGGCTTGGGTAAGCAGAGTGGGATGTATTTTGCTCTTTGATTGTCATTGTCTTTTTTTTTTTTTCAAATAACTTGAAATGAAATAGCCTACAAATACTATGCATTGTTAGAACTCTGTTTCCAACACAAATACCCATGAGCTATGGGGCAAGGTAACTGGGAATAGTGAGGTCTGTGGCAAAATAGAGACTCACATTTCATATAAAAGGAGCAGAGGAATGGGTTTCTGGATATACCAGTTCAGTCTAGCTACATGCCCCAATTTCACAAAGATAGCTGGTAAAATGAACTTTTTTAGGTGAAATCCTCTAAATTTAAAAAAACTGACAGGCCGGGTACACTGCTTCACACATATAATCCCAGCTACTTGGGAGATTGAGATCAAAATGATTACAGCCCAAGGACAACCCCAGGAAAAACATGATACCCTATCCAAAAAATAACTAAAATTAAAAGGCTGGGTGTATAACTCAAGTGGGAGGGTACCTGCCTAGCAAGCAAGAGACCCCGGAGTTCAAACCCCAGTACCACAAAACAAAACAAAAAAAACCCCTGACATCCAATTGTTTTATCTTCCATACAGAACAAAATGAATCAAACACATCTGGAGCAGACTTGGCCCACAAACCACATGGATGTGGTCTTTCACATTGTCCATGAACAGAATCTTTGTGACATTTCCTAGAGGATGACCTGGGTTCTAAGGTGAACTTCCTCTTCCAAGAAGTTCGTTTCTAAATCCAGGTGTTTCCTGGTGGTTCTTTGGGAGGTAATGAGCCTGACAATTCAGTCAGCAGGAGCTCAGAACTAGAGTGGGTCTGAGTTTTGGACCTGCAGAATTAATTTTTCTTTGGCAGTACTGCAGTTCAAACTCAGGGCCTCACACTCACTAGGCAGACACTGTATCATGAGATAAAATTCCTCTTTCAATTTTTCCCACTATAAAAATGTAAAATCTATCCTTAGCTTGTAGGCCACACAAAAACAGGCTGAGAGCTGGCTTGGGCTCAGGGTGGACGTTTCTCACAGAGAAAAGAATGAGGATAGAGCCTGCTTCATAGCTGTGTGTTTTCAGCACTAAACGAGGGCACAAAAAATACCCAAATTAGCAGTCCTTTCAATAAATTTCTTCAAATTTATTGTTTATATAGATTATATCCTTCAGTATTTACTAAATTAGGAATTAAAATTAAAACAGAAGGTAGTACACTAGCATACATCTCCCTGGATATAAGAAAGATGAAGAAAGATGGTGTCCTAAGCCTTTGGAAAACTCTACTGGATACCCATGGGATAAGAGAGAGAAAAGAAGGTAATGTGTAAGTATTTCTCTAAAAATGGATTTGACCTGGCAGAACAACTGCAAGGGTCTTGAACACCCCCAAGCTCTCTGATCACACTGAGAGCCACTGATAAAGAACACAGCCCTCTAAAATCATCATTGCCCTGGCCATGTCACACACCACTGTGAACAGGTGGCATGTCTGCTTGGCTCAAGTAAAAGATGCTGGAGACAGACGCTAACTCTCTCTTCACTCTCTGATGGCATCATTATGACGCTCTATGCTGTTTGATAATTTGAAAGGTCATAATTTTCCATATTCAACCACCTTAATTCATAGCTTTTTAGTTAGTTACTTTGATGTCATTAATTTTAAAATAGTTAATCAAACAAGCATGCAAATGAGAATATATATGCAACATTAAAGAGGACAGAAACATCTTTATGATTTCCTGATAATGTGCTTCATGTCTTTGATCTTCAAACTTATTACTCATGTTAAAGAATTCAGATAACAAAAGTTAAGTATTGCTGAGCACTTGAAGACCACAAGATAAAGCTATAATATTTTATACTCTTACTTCAAGAGAGTATGTATTGATAGCATTTACATTTCATATAATTTATGTTTGCTATTTGAATTAAAGTGCAAAAATCCAAAGGCTTTGAAACTTTTCTTCTTTGTTACAGTTCCTATCTTCTTGCCCTCTTTCCTTTCTTCATCCAGATTTTGAATTGATAGCAGAAGAATTGGAATGGATCACTTTCTGACTGTCACTTTGCTACTTTCGGGGTGACACTGGCAGGTTATTTTCCATCAGTTTCATGCTAAAAAGATCCTGGAGTATATCACTAGTCAGCACAAGATGGTGGCCATAGATACTGCCATCTTTGCTGACAACAGAACTCACTGGGGAAAAAAGTATCTCCATCTTAAAGTCCAGTGCTCCTGTACTCTCTCTACTATTTGTTATCCAGAATTTGAATAAAATTGAGTGAAGTTCCACAAAATGTTTAGCTTATAAGTTATTTTATTTTTAACAAGGCAACAAAGTGTTGAGATTACTTATTTCAAATTTAGGGAGAAAATTTGCCCTTTTGTTTGGTAAATTAAAGGAAGATAAAAGGGATTATCATTTGCTCACTTGATATTCACCATTCACCACCACCACTATATCACTACTCTTTCCATGCTGCTTTTGAAGTGG